GAAGTCAGGTTTCATTTCCCACCCTTATCATAGTCAGAAGAACAAACTCCATTAATTGTACCACCAAAAATACCGGATAGGTTACTAGGTTACATATAACAATCTAGCCAATTCCATACTGCCTACAAAAAGTTAATACTTCTCTCTCTCTCTCTCTCTCTCTCTCTCTCTCTCTCTCTCTCTCTGTGTGTGTGTGTGTGTGTGTGTGTGACCGTCCAGATGCAAGACAAGGCATATCAACTGCATGTTATACAATTAAGCAAGTTAAATAGAGACATGGCTCACAGATGATCATATACAAATAATAAATGGATGATACACAATGTGGTGTAGTGAAAAGAGTGACAGATTAAGACTTAGGAGGCCAGGTTTCAAATTCTTACTCAGTCATGGAAGCTCACTGGGGGAATAGAACTGTTAAAACCACTGCTTAGATGTCTCACACTGAAAGTCCTATTAGGGTCACTATATATTAATTCTGACTTGATGGCACATAAAAACAACAACAAAAATAGTAGCATCATCATTATCTGGACTACAAATATTTAAAATACTTCCAGCATGAACACAAACAAAAAATTCCAAAACAACAGAGCTGGATAAATGCCACTAAATGTTCTATCATACAGTATTTTTCTTTAGAGAGTGTTGCTTAACTCAAACTAAAAAAAATGCATACATCTTATAATCTAGATCAGTTTTTTTTAAAAAAATAAAACTTCATAATGGTACCTTATTTTATCCAGACATTTAAAAACAAGTTTGATAACTGATTTTTGTATGCCCATCCAAAACAGGACTTATAAGACAAGTATCAAATCTTGTTACTATAATACAGTACTCTTATGTTTATGGAAGTCCTTGCAGACTTCCAAAAAGCAACAATCTGCACTACATACTGAAGGAAGATGCTGTACTGGTAGTTTTCAGAGGACTAGTTCTTGTCACGATGCAGAAAATAGCATGCAAGACTGACTGTTGGTTTCTGTATTGCATAAGAACAGACACTGCTGGAGTTCTTTAGAGAAGAAAGCACAGATCTCCACCTAAACATTTCACATTTTAAAAAGTTTTGCCCAGTAAATTCTTCAGAATTTCTAACAAGCTGATGATTTCAGCTTATACAACTTACACAAAAATAGTAAAACGTTGAGAAAACTCATGGGAAGAGTTGCCTTTTTAAACCACAACTCTTCAAATAGCCCAGGCAACATGGCTTATGCCTAGAGCAAGGGTCCGTTTACACAAAGCCTACTACACTGTACAGGGTAACACTGTGACTGAGTGCAGAAAAAGTCTTAGCTCTGAGTCTGATCTCTCCTGTCACCACCTCAACCCTGTATTATTTTAAAAAAAATGTTAATCAGGACTATACATTTAAGTGCCTCCATAAGTGGGCTCAGACTCATCTAACTGTTTCTGAGATGGGCAGATCATGCAAAAACAGCCCACGTGACTAGACACTTATAGGCCTTAAATCCAAACATTAAAGATTGGACACCTAGTGGAAGAGTGTGTCTAAACCCTCATCTTACTGTGGCACTTCACAACATGGGATAATCTGTATAAATGACATGGCTTTCAATAGAATGCTCAATTAAACCTACTTAAGACTAGAGCTAAGGTCACTTGCGTATTTATTATTTGATGTCTATGACGTCAAGCAGTGTCTTGCATAGGTCAGTGAAACACTGCAGCTCTAACATTCCTATCCCATGCTGTCACTTCAAATGTGTTCTTTCTAAGGGTCATCCTTTCATGAATTCAAAATGTGGCTTCTGGAATACGGAACAGAAGAACAAAAGCCCCATCTGATGTACCTGTTGCTGTGACTTACCATGCTGGTGTATGTGTGTTTGTGAATCTGGGTACTTTGCTGCATTAAAAAAATCCTACACATGTAAAAGCCACAGATTCATCAGGGTTTTCCAGACAAAGAGTACAGTGGTGCCTCGTTTAACAACGAATCCGCATAGGGATGATTTTTTTGCGATCGTTTTTGCGATTGCATAACAATGTTTCTAATGTGAAAATATTGCTTTGCGATGATCAGTAAGCTGTTTCGCTTACCGATTTGTGCATAATGATGTTTTCCCAACAGTTGATCAGTGGTTCCAAGATGGCCGCTGGGTAAAAAAATGGCTGCCCGCTGTGTTTTCGCGCCCATTCCTCGCTTACTGGGCAGCGAAAATGGCGGCCGTATGGAGGATTTTCGCATAAAGGTAATTTTTTTGCCCATAGGAATGTATTAAACGGGTTTTAATGCATTCCTATGGGCTTTTTTATTTCGCATAGCGACGAATCCGTATAGTGACGATTTTGGCTGCACGGATTATCGTCGCTATGCGGGGCACCACTGTATTCAGAATGGTTTAACATTCTCTTCTCCTGGGGCTCACCAGGACTGTGCAACTTGCCCATGACTACACAGGCTGGCTCTGGATGCACAGTCGGGAATTGAACTCCCAACCTCTGGCTCTCGAGGCAGAGACCTAAATCATTGAGCTATCCAGTCAGTTAACCACTGAGCTACTGCTGCATTATTAATTTGAAGCAATCGTTTGTCCTCTTTCTGCCCAGCAGGAAACTCAAAATAATTTTCAACAAACATGCTTATTTATAAGTAGATTTATGATTATTTGCCTCTGCAAAGGAATATGGAGGAGAGGAAGTAAATAGCCATCAGGTTTTCCTGATTATTTCCCAATAGCCTCAAGGTATGTGCAGACATTTTACTTAATCAGTATGTTAGGTTGAATGCAAAAAACATATCCCTATAAGGAAATATCACCCACATTTCAACTGGGGGTTAAGGAGGAAATATAGTCATAAATAACACTGTGTAAGTTGGTTTTGCTTCATGTGTTACATTTAATATATCTGAAACACATTAACTAGAGTGGTCGTAATGACCAGATAGGCGGGGTATGTATGTATGTATGTATGTATGTATGTATGTATGTATGTATGTATGTATGTATGTATGTATGTATAAATAAATAAATAAATAAATAAATAACAGTCTGTGAATTATTTTAAAAATTGTTAGGGATGGGAGATACTCTTCAGTCCTATTGCATACCTGTTTTTGAAGTGGATTGTGGGTACTACACAAGTGCATGCACGTAGAAAAATAGGAAATATGAATGGAAGGAGGAAAGTTAGCCAAGAGAATTGAAGGAATGAGAAGAAGATGGGAAAATAAATAAATAAATATTTTAGAACTGCAGAACTGGAAGGGATCCTATGGACCCCTGAGTTCAGCCTCTGTCAGGGAGGCACAGTAGGGAATTGAACTCCCAACTTCTGGCTCCACTGCCAGGCACCTAAACCACTAAGCTATCCAGCATACAAGGCAAACTTTCAGGTTCTCCTGAACTCCTCTCCAGGCTTGGATAGTAGAGTTGAAGGGATGGGTTGGGGCAGGATAAGCAAAAAGTCAAAATAAACTGGCTGGATAAGGATGTGTATATTACAACTACTACAAATGGGATGTGCAACAAAATGTACCAGCATGAATCACTCCTGTTCAGTTTTTCAGTTACCTAGCCACACATAATGCTATTATTATTATTATTATTATTGCCGTTGTTGTTATTATAAGATCGATGGGAGTCTGCTAAGTGTTACTGGCAAAGACCTAGTGAAGAGAGATGAATCCATGTTGTGACTGAAGTGGTTGCAAAACAATGATGCTGACAGGGGACTATAGAGCATAAGGAGTTGTAAGGGAATTTACAAAGTCAATAATTGCAATTATGACTTGCCAAATTAATTCCAAATTATGGAGGCCCTCTTAGGATTTTCTATACATCTGGTACTCAGAAGTGGTTTACTAGCCCCTCCTTCTGGTGGGATTCTGGGATCGAGCCTGCACAGGTGGAAGGACATGTGAGCCCATCAGCCACACACATGCTCTGAGTGATGGTCTGACCCTTCTCCAGGTAGTCACAGTGATGGTTTTGAACTAGCACCTACATCTGCAGCCAGGTGCCCCAACTCACTTAGCTATAGGAAGCCAGGGTTCAGCTGTTTAAAATATACAGATGTGTCTTGGAAGGCCTACGCCTCCAGGTTAATTCTGTAGATTGATACTATCAACTTTGTACTGGTTCAACCCTGAGGCACAAATGAAGGCAGGGCTGTGTAGGAGACCACGGTGCCCACGGCTTGGCACTGCCAGGGGCCAATTGATTCTTGTTTCATGCGTCAGCGAAACTTTCCTCCCACTTCCTACTGTGCAGAGTGAAAGGTAAGGACAGCTGAAGGGGATGGATGGATGGATCAGAAAGAGGAACATTTGCTTATCAGAGGGAGAGAGAGAGATGAAATGGAAGAGGGGCCTCCATGATAAATGGGGGATTGAAATGAGCAGTGAATACTAGGTTGATAATAAACTGATTGCCCAGAATCCCTGCTTCCTAAAATCAAGTGGGCAAACAGACCTTGCAAGTTATGTGACCAGTGCACTCTGCCCATGTTCTGAGGCATCCTCTTTTTGCAAGTTACTCAGTTATGTGAACAGCACACTCTGCCCATGTTCTGAGGCATCCTCTTCTACAAAGTATTGTCTTTTATAAAAGATTCAAGAGTTCAATGCACTGCCTGCTTCAAATCGTGATAATCCCAGCAGGAGGGGAAGGCGGGAAGGGAAGCCAATGCATGACCTGATCTGGGGATCACCGGGATGGATTTCAAGAGTCCGGTTCCCCCAGGAGTGGCTGGAGGAAGCAATGGCTTAGCAGGCTGGAGCTCGCTTTCCCCCTCCTAGATATTAAAAAATGTGTTGATCTGCACCCCAGCCACTTCCCCTAAGAGGCACCCCGACATGCACTCAGGAGCCTCCCAAGTGGGAGAGGTTTCTGGCGGGGGCAAAGGGGCTCCGAGGGTCGCTCTTCTGGCTGAGAGAGAGCCGCCCGCCTCGAAGCCCCTCTCGCCCCGCACCTGCTCGGGGGCATCCCGCTGTCCTCCGCCGCCCCGCTAGCCCGCCTTTCCCTTACCGAAGAGGCTGTTGCTGAAGCCGTCCCACACGCAGCCGGCGGCGTCCCAGACCCAGCGCCGCTTCAGGCAAGAGAAGAAGGTGAAGCTGACGCCGAAGAGCGACACGAGCAGGTCGCTGAGGCTGATGTTCACCAGGAAGAGGTTGGTGGGCGTGCGGAGCCGCTTGAACTTGGCGTAGAGCAGCAGCACCAGCAGGTTGTTGCACAAGCCCAGGAGGCCGATGGTGGCGATCAGCAGAGCGAGCAGCTCGTAGGTGCCCTCCCTGAAAGGCGGGCTCGCGTCCTCGGCTGCCCGCTGCCGCGCCTCCCAGTCCGGCTCCCCTCGCGTCGGCTC